CCTGCTCTGCGCCCTGCCCTTCTCCCGGCCACCACCACCTGCAAAGCTCCTTTGAAACCCACTCCTTTCCCATAAGCTTACATTCCTCGTTTTGTCTCTTCTGCCACTTGTTCTCTCTCCACCACATATTCTCTTGCACTTACAAAACAATACAGAAATAGAGCAAAACATATCAAATATGAAGCAGACAACTGAAATATTCTGAACTCCAAAAATAGGCCATCTTCCTTCTCATTTTCAGTTGTTTTTTTTTTCCATTCTCTCATTGAGTGCCATTTCCCTTGACATTACCAGTCTAATGAAAACTGCAATGTGGCCAGTACAGATCTTGAGTGGATTCATCTGAGTGGACTTTGAAGCTAGACATTCAGTCATCTAGACACCTTTAGTAACCAGTGCAGGAAACGGACATTTGCAGGGCACAGTTTGCATCCCAAGGTAAAAATTTAACACTAGTCAGAGCAACCATGTTAGAGCCCATTTCTATCTACCAGCAATAAACAGAGCTTAGTAGGCAAGTCTGGTGTAGATGTAAACAGCCAGGTGAGATGAATGCCATCCCTAACCTACTAACTTGCCTGGATATGTCCATGAAGATTCAGTGGATTCGGATTCAACCCACCTCTGTAGGAGGCAAGGGATATTGGACTGCAGGGACTGAGAGTCTCAGCAGCGCTCTCATCCTGGGAGCACAGTAGGATGTTCCACATCTTCAGCTCTTGGGACAGAGATGCTGAAAGGACGACAAGAGAAGCAAAAGGAAAGATGGATTTCATTCCTCAGATAAGCTGCCTCTTCTGGGACTCATGCCAGTTTCCCTTAAGAAAGTTGCTGTCAGCTGAGCTCCTACTTCAAAATTTCATTCATCCTCTGGATTTCCTGGCAACATCTGAGTTATGCTACTGAGCAACGAAGACTTACAAAAGGAGATGACTCTGCCATACCCAGTACTTCCAGGTATTACAAAGACTCTGCTGATGCTCCACCAGCTAAACACTAAACATTGCACTTGGCCAGCGAAAACAGAGCTTCAAGGCCTCTTTTATCTCACTGGACATGTCCCACATTCTCTGAGCAATGTGTGGAAATGAATACCCACAAAGCACATCAGGTCTCAATAGCAGGTCAGGTTGTGTTCAAAAGCACAGACCATTTTCAAGGCAATAAATGTCAACAGTAGCAATTTGGACTTTGAAGGTTTGGCTTGAAAACTGATATTTTGGAAAGTGAAGCTCTCTTGAATTTCCTGTGCTACAGGAAAAAAAAAGAAAATAATAATTGTGATCGAAGACTGCATTGATTGGAAACTTCAGTAGCACAAGAGGGGCTAAATTACCACAGCAAGTCAGGCTTGGGCTCTTGCTTGCCCTGCAGTCTTGGCCCAAGTCCCAGGCTAGCAGTAGCTCTCCCAGGCTAATTCTGGCCATGTGATCATGCTGCATGCTGAAGAGGTGCAGTGCACAAGGAGGCCAGAAGTTAGTGTCCACAGCATACCCAGGACACACAAATTCCTCCTCCTTTCCTGCATACTACAATGGCAAAGGATCTCTTGTAACCAGAATTCATTGCCACTATCATCCTGGGTTTGCCTTATCTTTGAAAATCAACTTATTTCAAAAGGTGGACCCAAGTCTGCCCCTGCAGAGGCAAATAAAATCCCTCTAATTTAGGCTGTTCCCCTGCTCTTCAAAGACTGAAGTTGCCAAGCTGTGAATAGAAATAACCAAAGGTGCTTTTATGGATTGTAAAACCCAGCAGGTCTTTCACATCTAGAAAAATATTTCTATTTTCTGCAGTTTAACAAGATATTGAAAGGCCAATCCAGAAAATACCTGGTAATAAAAGTATTCAGACATTTCTATTTCATCTCCCCTAGTAAGGGGAGTGTAGCTCAGCTGGTAGAGACTTACCTCAGGCTATAGCTCACTCTACAAGGGCTCCTTCCTAGTTCACTCTTGCCCTTTATGTACTACACTGTGCAACATCCGCTTAGGTGTTTTAGAAATACAAGTTAAAATATATTTGGCTGTCCTTAGATGTGAGAGAGTACAGTGCTTCCCATACATCCTAGTACTAAAGCAACTGATGAAGAACTTTCAGTCGCCCATACCTTACACCTGAATTATAGTCTGTTGGAAGATGATATGAAATCATCCCACTTTATAGCTTAACGTAGTGCTCAGGCAAGAAGCAACACCTTCTAAAAGGTGTTTGCTCCATATGCTCCGTGTGGCCCTGTCCCCTACTACTAATGGAGTGTATGGTGACCCTGTCATTTCACCATAAGCATATGTCAGTCTCAAGAGTCGTATCTACCATCAGTTCTACCTAATAATTCATTCCAGGAAGAAATGGTCATGTAGAAAACAAAACAAACTCCTCTGACACAGAACTAGTAATATAGAGGTTTGAGGGAAATACAGGATAGTGGAACAACTAGATTTCCTGCTCACTGGTCTGTTTATTTCTGTTCTCCCTTATCCCCCTCCAGATCTTCAGGTTTTGAAAACACTGGCTTCTCAAGGTAATGTTGTTAGTTGCCTACACGAAGTGAGCAGTATTTGTTTCAGACTAGAAAAGGCTCATAGACTCTGAGGAGTTACAACTGCACAACCACATCTAAAATCCTGATTATTTGACTAAATAGTGCAGTTTTCTATTTGCCTTAATGTTTAACTGTGAATTTCCTCTCTTCTCTGAGGAAAGGCACGGTACTCTGTGCCTTGAATACATTCTACAGTAAAGGTTATTATGGTCCTTTGAAATACCAGCACATACCACAATTTGAAATATTTGCCTACATCAAAAAGGAAGCTGTCGGGAAAATATCACAGCCCAGCAAAGGACTGGTAGAAGCCGGTACGAAGACACCAGATGACTCTCAGGGGCATGAAACCAGGTCCCAAACTCACACGTTTGAAATGAAAGCCTGTCCTGGCAAATCCGTGCGGGTAAGCACAGCTCTCACAGTCCCACCGACTCCAAAGCACTATGAGTCCCTGGGTCTACAATTTCCAACAGAATAGCATAAAGCATAAGGTTTAAACATAAACCCTCTCCGCCTCCTCTCTAAGTCAGTGTTTGTTGGGAAACATCAAAGCCAGTCGAATAGTAGGTGTCCCAAAATGTCTTAATTCAGAGAATTAGTGTTAACCGAGTCTGATTAGCTCCATTTATCTCTAATTAATTACCTTTACCTAATTAGACACCCTGTTTCCAGTAGACATGGAGTCAAGTAGACTAGATTATTAGTGTAGTCATTGTGCCTTTACAAAATCCTGAAATTAATGAAACGTGCAAAAGAATCCACAGCTTTAATTGCACAGGTGTTGCCTTATGGCAAAGCTTTATCATCTGATTACACCAAGGGATTATTAGTGACTTTTTATATAGAGGATGAGCCTGTGAAATGTACCTTAGCAACAGCTCATTAGTTTAGGGTTGTTACTGTATTATTTATTACATTCAGCCTTCCCCATTATCTAGATTGATTCATGGGCCTATATTTTCCTCCCCTCTGTGCAGGAAATAAATAAATAAATGATGCCTGGCTATTGCTGTCCAGCTGCAATACGAGGGGAATGCAGCACATATTCTCCAGCTACCAATATCCACCCTTTAAAATAAAGCTTTAAAGTTGATTTAAATAAAACTCTTTTTTTCCCCTCCCTCAGCAAAGCAATCAATTTAAGCTTCTGTCAAACCGGAATGTTTTCTACATGCCATCCAAATAGTCTGGACCATCTTAAATCTTTTCAGATAAGTAAAATACATTACTGGATGGAAGAATGAAATACAATATATTTACATTCAAAATATTTTCTTCTGTTATAACTCATCCTTCATGAAACCTACCAGAAATATTTTATTTTGATGGGGTTTTTTAACTGTTTGGTTCTTGGTTTCTTCTTCAGGTTTGGAGGCTTTTGCTCTCTGGGAAAACTGCCTAAATAATAACCCAAGATAAACAAAGCAAAACATCAACCTCTGCATTAAGAGCCACTTTCCCCATAGAGAAGCTACTTATGATCAAGGTTGAGAAGGCTTGACCTTACCTTCCCTCGCTCTCCGCTGCGGCACGCTTCCAGGCGCACTGGATATCACCAGTCTAACAACTCTAGAGCTGCACCAACCAAGCGAGGCTTTTCCTGGCCAGCTGGCAACCCCTAAATAGTTGGTAAACAAAACGATGAGGAGCTGCTTTCCAAAATTATTCTTCCTCTCTCTCCAGAATACAAGATTCTTTGACTATTATGTAAAATCTTGCTGTTTGCATATTGCTAAGTTTAAAATAGTGCAAAAATAAGCAGTAACAGTTATTATATAGGACATGACAAGTAATACGAGCAGTAATAATGAATATTTAATGTTAAATATGAGCATATAACTTCTCATGTGTGCATTACAAAAATTATGAACTTCATTCTTAAAGCTGTGGCTCTAGCAGACAGAGCTGGCATATTAGTTTGTGCTGTATTCACGTGGTACTTATATGCATACATATAAAAGCTGGGTAATCCCACAATAATGACACTCGTAGTGGCTCGGGGTTGCTCTGCCAAATAAAAATTACTTGCATGAAGAGAAGGAAGCATGAAGAGAACCAAGCCCCATGATACCCACCTGCCATGTCTTTTGGGGTATTGCTGCTGTTTCAACCCCACCTGCCCCCACAACATGAGCTGACGTAGTCTCTGTATGGCCAAAAGTCTTGCTCTGGCTCCAAGATCCTTTTCATGGGACTTCTGAACACACCTGCATGGTTCTGGAAAGCCAAGTAAGCCCATGCTGCACCTGTGGAAAGAGCTGCAAGATCCCTGATCCCAGAAACTTGTGATGTTGGCAAAGATGTGATCTACATTCCCAACAATATTGGCCAACAGAGCAGACAGTCACATTTTTTTTATTTAAACTGGATTCAGCGTAGCTGCCCTTCCTGAATCAGGCCAGGTTGGACTATAAAACACATCTGCATCTGCCCACTCACCTTCTGTGAAATA